CTAGCCGACACCTGGCTGTGCCGTAGCCCCGACCGCGACCACGTGGGCCATTTCGCAGAACATTCGTGCTACAGCCGTTCGATCATTCGAAGGCGCGAATGCCATCGAGCATACACTCAAGGGGCGAGGGACGCATCGAGTTCGAAGCAAAACTGAGATGCCCTCGCGGGAGGGTCCTAAAAGCCGTCCTTGTTGGTGCGATCGAGCGTGATGCGCACGCTTTTCTTTCCATGTCTGAACAACGGACCCTGTCGCCCCAGGTCTGCGAGTGATAGCTGTTCGCCCGTGACTCACTTGGAACCGACGACGAGATCTCATTCACATGATCTTTGGAGGTGCACGAGTCCAAAGCGAAAAGCCGACTCCCAAACCAGCCCAGTATGTCTCTTGTAAGGTATCCAAGTTGATGCAGCCGGTCCGCTACTCCTCTAGCGAGCGGAAGAAGATACTACACCGATTTTCGTATGAGTCGTCAAAGTTGATGTGGCCGGTGTGCTCTTCTCAAAGAAGCAGAGACGACCTTCCACTCGGCGTCGGGTCTGGCGAATAGGGTGGTGCGAGACGAAGTAGTCATGCATGCTGGCCTTGCTCTTCTGGCCTCACCGATTAGGGGACTGTGCTTTCGATTTGGACTGAAGCAGGCTACTCTATCAGTACGCGTTGCTTCGACATGTTATGGTTCACCTCCATGTTCAGTGTGCCAGCCAATCGTCCCAAGCCGTAAGACGGTCAACGCGCGACAAAGTTTGTGTGAGGGGTGTTGGCTGTGCCTTCGATCGGCGCTGTCGGAGGAGTCATGGGCGCTGGTGTTTTTGGTGTGCGGGAGCTCTGCGGTTGATGCGAAAGTCGTATGGCTTTCGTGAAGCCGTTCGGGAGCGTGTGCGATTGGTGGTGAGGCCTAGGCTGGATCGTCAGCAAGATGGACTCGAGATGGGTCGGTGGCCGTTCACGGATACTTGTACAAGTAGTGCTGCCAAGCGGCATCGTTGGAGCGACCAGACCAGTGCGACGTATTGTGTTGTGCGGGTTTGACAGCCCGAGTAATACGGATTGGCGCGCATTCAAGAAGGCCATGGGAGGCGAGCTCAGTCAAAGATGGCAGGACGCGTGCCGAGGTGGTCATGGAAGAAGGGGATGCTGCACCCCGCCATCATCATTGGCAAGGGATTCATGGCTGCCAGTACCTGGACACGATGTGGGCATGGGAGTTCTCCCAGACAGTGCATTATTGGGTGCGACGAATTATCGGGCGGGGCGTATTGCTGTAGGGGCGGTTGACCGTTGGAGACTGTCGTCGTCGTCGTCGTCGGCGAGGGGGTATGAAGGTTACGGAGAGCCTGGCGAGTACGAAGCGCGCCTACAGGAGAAAGGATGAGATGTGGCGGATATCACTAAGACGTATGCGGGTCCCGTGTGAATGATGGATGATCAAGGCCATGCCGCTCTAGGAGTAGCGTGACACCTCGCATCACGGCTTGCCCCGCATCCGCCGCGCAACCCCAACACCAGCACTTCCAAGGTCCCCTTCGTCTGGTTCCCAACCTCACCATCCTTTCTCAGCGCAACCAACACCCGTAGCACACACAACATGTCACTCAGATACATCTTACCCTGTTCTATCTTCTAGGTCAGAAATCCAGGGATTTCTTTTTAGCGATCTAACGTAATTGTACTCAGTAGAATTGATCTTTAACTTTGCGACGGGATTTCCGAGGAGGCGATTGTTTAGAACGTTTCCCGCCTTATTTGCTTTTGCCATAGAAAGACTGCTGGGAAGACACCGCATGCTTGCGAACTCGCGACCTCTAGGGCTCGAGCACACTTCCGATGCAGACTAGTGGCCTTCCCCGCGCCGAGGCCCAGATCAGCTGCAGGCTCCTGGCTCCGCGGCATCAGCACCAGCACCACCACCTCCACCACCAGCCGCGCGGAGAAAGCGCCAACTACCCCGCGACATCACGACGACCCTCATATTCCAATACCTCACTACACCGCCGCCTGTTTCATATCGCCGCCTCGCATACCTCCGCCTCGCATGCTGTAGCTGAATCGAGAGGCGCATTCCATCGCCCATGCAGCCCGCCGCAGCTGTCACCACACGGCCCCAACCTCGAAAACACCATGTATATACACCTGGCACATTCACCCATCGGCAGCAATTGAGCCTTCGGCCGTCATGAGCAGATGAGGAGGTGCGACCACACCCGGGGCTATCATGGCAGCTGGAGCGCTTGTGCCGGTATACGCGACCCTTGTCGGACAAGTGGCTATTTGAATGCTGTAAGGCTGTGCCCGTGTGAGACTTCTATCGCGTCTGGACGAGAGCGGTACATGCAGTGCTTGCGCCGATAGCCACAGCCGCCACTGGTTTGCGAACCGCGTATGAGTGACGCCATCTCATGCAGCTATATCGTACACGTATCGAGCGCAACGTACCTGGACTGCGACCGCGCGCCAAATGTGGCCCCCGGCGAAGACAATCTCAACTGCTGCCATTCTCGGTGAACCCAGCACGAGGCCGACATCAGGCTTCAGACACAGACCGACAACTCCAACTTCTCCGAGGAACATGTCGACGCCAAGAAACGATACTGGTCTATGAATATCGCAAATCAGGAAGCTGGCACCGGGTCTTTCATCATGTCATGGACAAGGCACTAGCTCAACCAACAGGAGAAGACACACGGGTATTAGATTGCGACCTGGAAACTAGCACGTCGCCGTTGACTCGGTCTTGCTCTCAGCTCTTCCGAGTAGTAATGCGATGACATCCTGCCCAGCTCCGAGGCTGTACGGTACCATCTCTAACTGCTCGGTTGACGAGAATGCCACGAAATAGCCACTTTCCGCCACAGTCTCGCGCAACCGCACCAGGCATTTGCACCCCAACGGCTCACCCTCTCGAACACCTCATGAAGCGGCCCAAAGCTACGACATTCCCGCGAATCGGTTCGCGATCTTACTCTCCAGAGCGTGCGCGAAGTCTCGTTCGAAACGACACTTTCACAATCTCGCGACACCAACGATCCTGACTATACCCCAAATACACTCTTGCATCGGCTGAGATCAAGACAACAGGCACAAGTCGTCTGAGTTTCGCTTTGGATGGTTGCTTGGGAGGACTGAGATCATGGCGCCGAGACTCCGGTGTCCAATATTGGAATTGAAGAAGACTGTATTGAAGACGCTCAACGTCTACTCGGAGTTTCAGGCACCTCCGAACCGTGCAACTCAAGATGTCCCTGCTAATGGCCCGACAAACCCGGAGCTTCCGAGCCGGCTTCTGCCGCTACCGCTACCTCTGGACTGACTCAACAATCCGCCGACACCATCAATTTGTGTTCCACATGCACGATTGCTATGTCGCAGACATGGCCACACTATATGCATGCTCGAAGCGGTCATTGCTGAGATCAGGGCATGACTACTACAAGTTGCAGGGCACTGCAAATGTGCAGATTGCAGTAACAAGAGCGCATATGCATTCAACGCTTACTGAACTTACCATGCTACTCTCACGCATCCTCCTGGATTTGGATCCACGGCCGCTCTCTTGTGCCGACCATCTCATGATGCAGTACAAGGAAAACGCAGGGTGACGAGCTAGCAACATGAGGTTTACTGGCTAAAAATGGGAACATTTCCAATGCCAGAATCTTGCGTGGGGCTTCCAGAGACCGTTCGAGTGATGAGCCTTGCCTCTAGATCTAGCACGAATTCAGTTGAGCATCTGAACGCCATTCCCGTCCCCGTCATGCTGTCAGCTTTCTGTCCTAACTTTACCATGTGCTTTCCTTTTATCCATAGGCATCAGGTTCTATCATGATGATACTTGGCTGTTTCGACCATCAATTTCTTCTCCATGCCTGACTTTCGGATTCTAGCTCAATGAGCTCGTCGCGCTTACATGGTCCTCGCCGTCTGCATTGTGTAGTCGATATTCGCCACCAAAAGGTTGCAGCGACTTGTGCGCAGAAACACGGTCGACTATTAAGTGTAGTGCATCTTGGTTCAAGAGAGTTTCTTGGTATCAGCCATCCAGAACATGAGAGGGCGTATCTCATTTGGTCCATATTGCTCGACATCTTCCAAGTCTTAGTCAAAAGAGCAGCACGGAACTTATATAAAAGCTTGCTTAAATAAGAGTCATGCTTTGCGCAAAGTGATGAAGACAGCCTTGCGAGGTCGGGGGAGGCGATAGATGCGGAAGTGCGGCTTGCTTCCGAGCAAACCAACGAGATGACGTTGGCTGGTACACCAACGCAAGAGGTATCAGGAGATCACATGCTACATTTGTACTTGAGTACCATTACAACCATTTTCCTGTTCCGTCGCACGCTACATGTCTTCTGATCGAGAAAGCAAAAACGCCAACGCCAACGCCAACGCCAACGCCAACGCCAATGAGCACCTAACGCCGTCTCTGCCGTCGAATTCGTTCCCATTCGCAATTTGTATACCTTTCAAACCCCTCACCCCTTCCAGCTTAGGTACTACCCGAACTCGCGCATGGCATGTCAACCACTCATCCAATCTAGCTCGCACTGCAGGCTTCTGGACAAACAACCCACGAACGTGGTGGGTAGAAGGTTACTAGTCCCACGTCCACCCGTTCCTTGATGTGCACACATGGCTCGCCGGGTAATCCTCGGGTGCCGACGAGCCGCAAGGCTTAGCCCGAGCTTCCCTAGGCCGAGGATATGTTGCATACTCTTATTTTACGACCTTTTTGATACTAGTAGAGGGCTATACTAGACTTGGACACCTTTTCGATGATACCCACTAGCTTATATATTCATCTTAGTGCACACATGGTGGCGGATGTCGTACACGGGAAGATGCCTCCGCTGAGGGTCATGGTTGAGGTCAGAGTGCGACATGGCGGCTTCATCGTCGCCAGATCCAGGCCCAAGTTCAGACTCGGTGCTGTCGGTACCGAGGGACTGATTTACGGATGGGCCGTGATGGTCATGAGGGGTAAGTGGGCCATTGGTCGGGGACTAGACCTCTTCTCCATAGTCTTTAACGTTCATTGATTCGAATTGCTGAAGAAGGCCGGTGTTGGATGGTGTAGGCACCGCGCTGGCATCGACTTGGTTTTGGACTGGTTGGGCGTCCATGTCGTCGGCGTAGATGAAGTCGTAATCAAGTGAAAGCGTTGAAGGCTCGTCCGTGTCGCCCTCGTACGCAGCCATCTCCGCATCACCAAGCTCGAGGATCCTGGCATTGTCTTCAAAGTCTGACTGTATGAGCACGTCGTCGAGATTGCAGGTTTCATTGGTGGCCCCACCGTTTACTGCTTGAAGGTATTGGGTTTCGCCCTCGTAAAGAGTAACTTCCTCGTCATCCGAGGCGTGCATGCTGGCATTGTCGGCAACCTCTAGATCGGGTAACGGCTCCCGAATAAGGTCACTCAGATTGAGGGAGCCGATGCTGGCCCCGTCGTTGACAGTCTCTGTCTCCTGGTTTCCATGGATCAATCGGTCAAGGTGCTCCAGGGTCGCGGACAATTCATCCATGATGGCCTGCGGGCACGAAGCGCGCAGCTGTACCGCGATATCCTCTAGGTTCGTATGAATGATCTCGAGCGAGACCAAATCAGAGGTGGGGTACCGAGTGGTGCCATCCTGCACGAAATGCGAGATGCTCGCCCGGGGGAAGTGTTTTGCTACGGGCGTGCAGATACCCAGTGACTGGCTAATACCGTCAGCAAAAGGTAAAGCATCGGCATTGCCATCTTACCTGGAACCCGACAGAAGAGGGTGTCGAGATGAAATCGAACCACCTAGTAATTGGTGTTCGTGATCAGAAGGTGCAGGATGGAGAATGAGACAATCTGCTCGCCTGCATTTGAATACCGCGCAAGATGGCGTAAAGTAAATTGATTCCAGTCTGTGCTGCTTGTAGCGAGAACAAGCCTGGTTGTAAATCCCGTCGGTGAGATGCGGGTGAGTGACAGTGCGCAGGCCAACGATGTGCCGCTCCTCAGCAAAATACATAGAGAGTATTGGCGAAGAGATGTCGCGAATACTGAAGAAGGAACAGACGGGCTCGGATCAAGATGCAGTCGTCTCGGTGACGCGTGAGGTGACGTGGAGGGGTGCGTTTGTTACAAACTGATAGTCCTAATGAGACCGTCTCGTAGGTGAGAACGCAATGGGAAAGCCTTCAAGGCTACTTCTCTCGCATAGAAAGCCGTGTGATTTGACACAGATCTCACCGTCGGGCCTTATTCCTTTGACGGACGCTTTCGATTGCAACTTCCCTGGTGGTTGTGACAGGCTTCGTTAGACCTGCATCAAACGGCAATAATTTTGCTGGACAGAGCAGACGTTTTCGGGCAGGGAATTAACGTATTACCCAAGGTAGAAAGTACCCTCTGTTGAATAAGAGGTTCGCAGCCTCGACCACACAAGGCTCGTGATCAGCAGCATCCGTTGCATTCGTCATGGACATCCTCATGACATATGCTGCAGCACAAGACGAAGGCCGTGTGAGCTCCATCAAGACGGCTGCCGTCGTTGACTGTCCCGAGATCCCGCGAGCAGAGGCCAAAATGCATAGGGGCTTACGAGAGCGTATCGAGGGTATGAGCGGCGGTACTCTTCACATCATCGGACATTCGATAAACTCTTTTGCTATGTCTCCAAAACATCTGTTACCTGCCCCGAATTCGATAAAGCCATTGACCGGACTAATCACCCAGCAAGATATGTCTTCACAGCGAGATACGTTCATGACATCAAGGGGTATCGAATCGCGGCTTATCCTAGGCAAAGAGCCCCCCAGCACTGGTTCCACAATGGCCGCCCATGCGGGATGTCCGCTTTGCCGCATCCTCGCTTGTGGGTGTACGAGCCCGGTGATCGTTGTGGGGAGAATCGGGGCTTGAGACTGCAGCCGTTCATAGAGAGGGCTCGTGTCTGGGACTGCGATTAGCGTTGAGAACAGAATTTCTGCGTAGTGGATCGTGAGTTCAATTCGGCATACGACATTACCATACCCAAAAAAGCGAGGCCAGTTTACCAACAGATGATAATACTCTTCATGCGAAACCTGTGTGGGCTAGGACAGACGCACGAGAGTCCATTCCAGCGCCGTGTGATCGCCTTATCGTGTCAGCTGTGAGTGGGTCTTTGACCAGATGGAATTCTCGCAATCTGACGCGTCGCGAGCAGGTTGTGCCATATGATAAAGGACGCTGTGTAGCAAAACAATGGACGGATGATGGATATCAGGCGAGTGCCTGGACCTGTGTCCGGGCTTGGGCGTTCGCGGTCAGCGCGGGGCCGCGCGGGCCAGCCGCTAAACTGTAACTCGGAGTCTTCAGAATGGGGTAGATGCTGCGCAGCGCTCGAACGCCAACACATGAGCATCGTAGCAAATACACCTTGCCGTCCAACATGTGGCGAAAAGATCCCTCAGGCTCGAGCGCGAAAGACAGAGAACAAGTCAGGCGTGGGGGGGTTCCGCACTGGTAGCCCACCCAGATGGACCCCGGAGGTTAGCTTGGCTCCTATTGGTTGACTTCACCCCACCTCTCAAGCTCTTTGATGGCAGACGACGGGCGCGCGCACACTCACAGCGTCGAAGGATGACCCGCTACCATGGTCAAGCACGAGCGTGTTCAGAACGCCCATGGCAGCGGCATCTCAGACACTCGAGTCGACGCAAGTCCGGGCTACAACCAAGCTGTGGCCAGCAGGCTTCGGCGCTGATGCAACCGCCAAGCGTCGACGCCGACCCGCGCAACATCGCAACGGCGGTCTATCGAGGTTCAGGCCTCGCCAATGGGGAGAGTAGCAGACAATGGCGGGTCAGGAAGATCGGGGGCAGGGAAACGCTCGTCCGCAACCAGTACGTTGTTTCGAAAGATATGAGGCTGATCAGTCCGTACTACTGGTCTACGTCAGTACTTTTGATCCGCGAAACACCGACCTTGGCGATAAGAGTGAAGATGAGCTTCTACACCACACCAATATCTCGGGAGACGAAGATTCCATCACCTTCCACATGGTTACGCGTAAGGCAGAGACAGGTGCGAACGGACAGGGAAGTTGCAGGCGACGAGCCCAGTGGCGCCAACGGTCGAATGGCGAATATCGTGACGTGGAAGCGTTCCAAGGTTCTGACAGGCACTAGGCCGGCAACGAAGCACCTTCACAACGAGCGGCCGTGTCGATGGCGGACGTGTTAATAGCAGACGTGTTAATAGCGGACGTGTTGATGGTAGACGTGTTGATGGCGGACGTGTTGATGGCGGACGTGTTGATGGCGGACGTGTTGGAGCGCAAGCACTCAGTAGTAAGCTCAGAAGTGGACGTGTCGCGATGAGCAAGAACGAAGCCAGACAGTGCACTTTAAGATTGCACTAAAGAGGGATGAAGGAAATCTGAGTATGTTTTACCCGATGAGTCTAGTGGTTTGAGCATCTTTATTTACGAGCATTCGCGCACTGATCCGAATGCATTCCGTTACACCATGCAAGCAAGCTTCTTCTTTGCATAACACCACCTATTGCAGCCCCAAGCATGAACACGTTCTCCCGAACACCAGCACGGACAGAATCTGTTCCAATCCTCTTTCCGTTTCTCGTCATTGCCCTGCTTCACAAGCTTCTCCCAACAGTCAAAGTCTTTCTGCGACGGGATCTTACATATCTTTGCACAAGCGCAAGATAGAACTTTGCTGTTCTTTAGCTACTTAATAAGGTTTGCGATGCTTTCCAGGACGCTAGAAGAGTACACCGGATGTTGTAATCAACGTGCGTATTCCGCGCTCGTATCTGTCAGTGTCCACTCCTGAACATGACGATACAGCGCATCCAGGTAATTGCAGAATTGCCGAGGTATGTCTTCATTTGTAGCCATGAGCGACTGGATGATGTAATTAATGTTCTTAATAGTTCTGCCGATGTCGGCTGCTGACCAAATCATGCCTCCTCGTGCAACAGAGTCGTCCAATGTAAGAACGCAGTGTACTACCAGATAACCAGGTCTCATGACAAGGGTGTCGCCGGGGCGGAGAAGAATAATTTCAACCTATTCAGCAGCTAGTCTCCACTGTGCCCCCGAGGTTTCTAGTTCCTTCTGTTCCTTCTCGGTCCATGGTCCAGTATATATGAACCAGGCACGGAAGCCGGTGATGGTTGTCAGCCACGTTCCATTTAGTACATCCAGGTGCCACCCGGAGAATGAAAACCGCTCTCCATAAAACACGAACTGAAGGCAGGCCTCGCAGTCGATTGTTCGCGTCTTTGTCTCTTTGCCTCCGGCTGGTCCAAACTGAGATTGTTCGTCGAGATGAACCTGAACCTTGAGATCATTGAGCAAGCTGTATCCAAGGTCCCGAAGAAAGTCTGGCCCTGGTACGACGTGCTCCAGAGCTGCTCCGGAGATGCTCAAAAAATTTCTAAACTCGTCGGAGGTCGCGCGCTTCTCCTTTGACATGCGATCTTCGTATCGCTTGCAAAAGTCTTGAGCGGTCATCTCTGGGGTACTACCGCCAAGAATCTGCCAATTCTGGTACATCAAACTCACTTCGCGGTGCTGTGCGAAGCGAAGGAAAGCTGCTTCAGCATCTTGGAAACGTTCAAAGGTATTGGAGATCCGCAAAGTCGGTGTATGCGCGTTCAGAGCACGACCTTGTTTGAGGAAAGTACCGAGTTCTTGAGCAGAGGTGGAAACCCAATGGTTGCGAGAGAGGTTCGAGGCGCTATCTAGGGAAGCCGGTTTCTCGCCGATGTCATGTGGCTGATCTGATGCAAAGCTTTGTAGAGCTGGAAATACTGCTCGCAGCATATCGATCCCAGTCTTCGAATGAGCGAGATTCTCGCCTTCGCGATCGGTGTAAGGGCCGCACAGTAGTTGTCGGAGCACACCTTGGAGAAACTGGCGGTCATAAGAGATGGACTCTGCGACGCTGGACTCGGCAGACCTTCGCTCAGGTAGAGGTGTGTCGTTGGGATCGCAGGAACACGTGTTGTGTTCGGTCTCGTCTTCGCCGACGGATGCTCCATGTAGCTGCTTTCCCTTACAGTTTGCGCGATTGCTGTCACATACAACCCGCCGCTTTGCCCGCATTCACATCACACGCCGCTGCGTGCTTATATGCCAACACGAGTATCCCTACATGCCCGTCCGTATCCCCGCAGCCAGCTCTCGATTGCCGCACCCGACAAAGACTACATGATACCTCCGCTTCAAGCACTGCGACGCACGGTATGCCCTCATTACGACCACGATATGAGCACGACCATGTCATGCCCCATCTTTGTGCAAATCACGGGAGTCGTGGCAGGATGGGTGCAAAGCCTGTAGGTGAAGCAGAGTCTGGGCAGCTCATCAGACATCTGGAGAGAGTTCGTGACGCTTGGAAAGCGGGGCGTCTGGCTTGACAGATGTGCTCTCGTTCCGGACAGCGCTCTCAAACGACGTCGGCTGGATGCGCAAGTAACGATGGGGCGCGCGGTAAGCTCTTCATCCCGTCGCAGGACTGTTTGTTCAAAGCCAATCACCACGTCCTAGTGCTGCTTAATGCAGCAAAACCCTTTCTTTTTTTCGGTTCAAGTATGCTAGCAAGGCAAAGTTGACTCTGTTCATATGGAGGCACGGAGGAGATGTCTACGGTTTGCGTGTCGACACGCTGTCGCCGACCGCGACACAGGGTCTTCGATACATGTCGTGTAACATCTATCGTGTATGATGCTGGCCTATGTGCAGTCGCTTTTGTACGCGCACTGGAGAGCTCACCAACCGCTGATGGCGATGACTAAGATTCTAGTACCTTCTCAGTCCCTATCAGTGAAGCATTCGTGAATTCGTGGCGTCATGACTCTTTGATCCGACCAGCTCCTTCCTCCGATTGGCGTCGCCTTCCATCGAGCCATTCTTGTGATACTATCGCGTCTTCTGTCGTCCAAGCGCAGAACTCGATTCGGGTTCTTGTCGTTGCTCCAGTACTCTCCTGGAACGTAGGCTCTCTTTCGAATTTCTCCCTCTCGCTCAAGATCTCCTTCAGTCTAAGCATCTCCTTCTTTGTCACCAATTATAAAAACTTGTCTATGAGTAGAGCGTAAACAATATGATGGCGTTGATCAACATTGTCTCCACTGCCGTTACCGATAAGCATGTGACAGCTCAGCCTTCACATCTTGGTAACGGGGCAAAGATCGTGCCAGGCTCACATCTAAATGTCATGAGCAATTTATCGTTGAAGAGGAGACTTGTTCGTAGAAGTCGGTGTCGCAATGACCCCCGCAACACACACGAGATACACGATGACTGAATCCGCCGTTTAAATAATGGAAGGGATGAGAAAGAGGTTGTCCCTTGATGGCGCACGTCATGGACTGCGTTGTGGAAGTCACCCATCGTATGTGGACACCGCGATATCATATGAAAGTTAAACTTCTGTGACAATCCCGTCATGGTATCAGGTACCTCATGATCCGCGAGTCGCGCCTTTTGAGCTCAAGTCGAACTCTGGGTATCGTGTAACAGAAAGAAGCGTGTAACAGGCCGCCTTGATGACGAGCCAGTAGGGTTATAAGCGTGATTATCACCCACGCGCGAGAGGCTGTACGCCCGACCCAGAGGGTCCAAACACCCTTCAGCTCTTTCTGATCTCGCCAATCTGTATGTTGCCAGGACCATCGCGCCTCCGCTTCTTGAGAGGTGGTGAGCCACGTGCAGGGGCCGGTGAAGTGGCAATCGTGGCGCTGGGGCTGCCATACTCGCTGAGATTCTCATCGACATGGCTGAGGATATCAGAATCGCCCTGGTCCTTGTTGTTCCCATCGGTGCCGACATCCTTAGAATCAGAAGTGTTGGAGTCACTATCCGCATCGCTCGGTTCCGCGTATTCATACTCCTGCCTCCTTTCAGATCGCATCTTGTCGCTATACTCGTCTACGATGCGTGAATACTTTTCTGCGTATGAGAAGATGTCGTGAAGCTCTTGATGCGTAAAGTCCAGCTGTAGAGCATGAAGATCGACCGTATCTGGCTGCGCAGAATCGGCTACAAAGTCGGCTACAGAGAACGGGATTTTAGCGTCGAGATGACACCATTAGCATCTCGGAACTTGACACGAGTGCCGGCGTCTATAACCGCCAGGTTCTTGTCCTTGACACGGAAACGAAACACTTGGTAGGTGGCCCAGTGAGGCTGTTCGCGCAACACGCGTTGTTGCTCAGGCGTACGATGTTCAAACTCAATCCCGACGAATGTCTTGGTATTGCCTGCAACTCGGTGTTTGATGTCAGTGTATATCCCACACGTAGTTTACAAGCGATGTCACTTACCCTTCCCGCGAGCTATGTAATCATGCGCTGCTCGTCTGAGATCCATGTGACCATGCGAAATCTCAATGACGAATCCTGGAAGATTCTTGTGTGCGTAGTTGAAAGCGATGCAAGGCGTGCGAAGGGACTGAGGGCGAATATATGTTTGTTCCCGGCCGACAAACTCGATATCATCGATGATCGAGCATGTAAGCGTTCTATGATCTGGATCAAGTATGCTTACACCCAATTCCACGTCTTTCTTCACACTGGCCAACTTCCCACACAGCCGGGACCTAAGGCCTCCTGTGACCCGACAGTAAAGCGCGTAACCGCGCATTTTGATGGTAAGAGATCTTGTGCGGTCATCGTAGTTGTAGTAGACTTTGTCGCCTGCCCAACCAGCAGTGTGCCGGTTCAGGTTCTCGCTCTCCACTCCTGGTTCGAACAGCTCATTCTCCAGTGAAGGCCAGTCTCGACGTCGAACTGCGACGGCGAACTTATGATCCCCATACTTGACCGATTCTTTGCCGTCGTGAAGTCCCTGGATGAAGTCGTAAATCTCATGGTATCTCGGTTTGGGCAAGAGGTGTGGCACCGGTAGCGTCGGGGTGTGTGAGGAGGGTTGATCGAGGGGCCGGTTGGATGCAGAGGAAGGTAACAGCTGCTCGCTGCTCGCCATAGACCTTGTCACGCGCATGGCGGAGAGTGTCGCGGATGCAAGGTTCAGTTCGCAATCGCAGATTGTGTAGTCGGTGGCTTGGGAATAGCAGCACTCCTAGTTCCGGTGCTAGGCAACAGCGCCGCGCCCTGTCGGTGGGCTAGCGCGCCCGCGAGGCCCTCTAGGGCTAACCCCGGTTGACGGGCAGCGAATGTAATGTGTGAGCCTCAGGAAGCCATTTGGAGGCAAGTGAGATTGATCAGAAGCCAGTTCACACAGTCACGGAGAAAACTACAGCGACGCAAAGGAGAGAAATGAAGAGTAGTGAGATGTATGTAGAAGAGGATGGGAGATTTCAGCGCGTTCGAGAGCTCTAGGGCTGTTCTTGCAGCTGCACCAGCTGCAAAAGATTGTGGCACGGCGCGGATCCATGCAATTGACGGCTTCGAGCCCGTAGCATTACAGATTCGAGTTGCAGGAGGCAACAGGTGAGCTCCTAGATCCTTCAACGTTCGGCTGGACTTGTGTTATCATCGCGCCATATAGTGGGGCAGCCACTGTCGCAATGAGCCTGAGCTGCCGCCATGCGACGACAAGCTGTGGATGTGGAGGGATGAGCCCGACCATGGTGCAATAAGCTGTCGGCTACCCCAGAGAGAAGATGGCCCGTTCAACCACCATGTTGCTAGCTAGCCTTTTCGCGAAGAGAACCATGAAGCTCGGTCGCTAGAGCTCTACGAGGGCCTTCTGCCGCGTTATCGGCTACAAAGCCTGGCGCTGCTCGAGTTATGATGATGATGTAATCCACCTAGCTACCGCCGGATCCGGTGTGAAGTGGAACACACGATCTGGTATTGCCGTAGAAGCTTGGGTCCAAGCAGGCTCGTGCCCATTGTTCGCGGATCGGTGAGATTGCTCGAGGCGAGTGGCGGAGTGACATGTCGCACTTGGTTCCACGCATAGACTCACCAGAGAAAGCGAGATCGCGTTCCGCTAGCCGGTGCTTGCTAGTACTTCGCAAAGACTTTCCAGGGTATCCTCATAGCCCTGCTGTCATCCGTGACCGCCAACGAGCTGGAACGACGCGCCTGGACACGGGGCCGTTGCAGTGCGACAACCGTATTCAAGAGCTGGGATGGGGTCCACTCGGACCGGGGCCGATAGAGTCTCGGCAAGGCCTTCCTGCTGCTCATGCCAGTGGAGGTTGTGACCAGATATTCACCACGGCGCGACTCGCTCATGATGTGTCTGAAGTGTGGGCGATAAGGAGACGTGCGTTGAATGGTGAAGCAATGGGACGGGGAAATCGCGAAGTGGTGCTGGAGACGGAGTGGTGCTCAAGGCTGGAGAGGTCAGCATCCCGTTCGAGAGCATTGGTGGTGAGACGTATGCCGGGCCGCTCGATGCCTCTGGCGATGTTCTCGCGCACCTATCGAGCTGCAATGTCCAGGGCGACCGTGTTGCTGAAGGAGTCGCTCACTCTCGAGACTCAGATGCAGGTCATTCGTGTCTTTCAGAATTCAACACTATGATTGCTGCGGCACAGGTACTGGCTATGCGTTAATCGCGAGACCGGTGTTGGGTTGCAAGTAGTAGAGGGTGTGCTTAACGTGTCGTTATGCCGGAGGGAACGTGCGCATATCCCCGATAAACCAGATGACCGAGCTCACGCCGAAGCTTGGGGACGTGGGGCTGAATGTTTACGCCTTCTTATGACTCGGCTGCTACCACTGCCCCCGACGCGCTCTTCCGTCGCCATCGTTAGCTTGAGCCGGCTATAGGCGTGTGAGCCTTTCTTGCGCTAACTCGGGAAGTGATCACGTCCAATCAACAGTACTTGATCTATCCGTATACCGTTAGAGAATTGTAAGAAGAGTCAAACAAAGCCCAACCCGTTGCGAATTGTATTTTGAGCTACGTGCGATACTGTGGTGATATATTAGAGGCAAGAGGCTAGAAAAGACAGCGTGTTGTCGACTCACTGGACTGGCCGAATCGAATAGAGCGGGCCTAGGTGTTCAGATGGATGCAAGTGTGGGAGGTGACTGGAGTCAAGATCTCAGGCGGCTCAAGGGACAAATGATAGGCCAGTGGCGTGACGGCGACCAAGAAAAGCGGACATGATGGAAGGTGGATAACGGCGACGCATTGGCCAAGAGCCTTGTGGGCTTCAGTGAACCCCAGATATCTAGCAGGCGTTATCCCTTTGCGTTGTCTTGTAATACACGAGTCTCAACGGCCGCAAGGTTCAATATCGCGTTGAAGTTACTAGTAAACGGAAACATAGCAAGGATGCCGTGGCGAGCACAAGTCACAACACGCGCGTTACACAGCTGGATCAGCGAGATTGAGATGAGAGATGCCACTGCATTGTGTATAGATAATAGTGGCATGCTGTAAGAGACGCGTCTATCACTGCAAATACCGGATTGCTAGCCGTGAATAAGGAGCTCGTGATCTCTTGCAGTGCCGGAGGTCGGAGGGCGAAAGTTGACCTATTCCAGAGCCAAGGGATGGAGCGCGTGGCGATGCCGATGGTGGGGCACCCAAGGTCACCAGATATGCACGCGACAGGTGCGAGGCCAAATGCAGTCGTCGGTGGTCGCTAGACTCAACAAGGAACCGTCAGTATAGTCGCCAATCATCCTCCTACCTCGTCAGAGTTACGTTGAGCCGCAGGATTACACATCTAACGAAGAATTTCCCTAGGAACATCAGGGGCTTTGGCCGTAGGTAGTAAGGCTGTGCGTAGGCGACGCGGGTCAAGCAATAAGCCCTAGTTGCGGTGTTGATGCAAAAATAGGAACCATCGTGCGTAGCGGTGGAAAGGGACGAGGAGACTCGCAATAACAGCTAACTCTAGGCCAATGTTGTCGTACAGTGACGTCTGCAAGCCCGAGAACGAGCGAAAGACCCTGACTTGCCGCTCGCAGATGATTCCGACGGCGTCGAATCAGGGTGACGACTTCTTGTTCCACCCACCAAGTCTTCGAAAGCGGAGTGTGTTCCCCAAGTGCACGGCAAAGGTACTCGGCGAGATCGTCCCCGGCCCAGGTCCCGCCCCAAAGAGTAGGAACTATAATACTCTGTCATCGTCATCCACGGGTACAGTGCGAGATGGACCTGGTTGACCCGCTGCGAACTCGGCCTGGTGGGTTGTACAACCAGATATCGGACTGCCTTTGCAGGTATCTCAATATCGACCGCCGGGTAGCGGTGTTGTAATCCTTGAGTGGTGCGACGTGCGTACCCAACTTCAGCCTATCCTGGTGTTTTGGATGTCGCCAACAACGTCATGGCCCTGGAAGACGGAGGTGTTTGATGAGCGGAAGGCGTGCGAGAAGCTTGCCAAGTCCATGCCAACAAAAACAGGAACGATTGCGCAGAAGGAACCGCAGCCGCAAAAGAGCCCAGATGAGATTTGAGACCAAGCTTGACGTCCAAGTCTGCTTCTCGAATCAAATGCTGCGAAGCGCGTGCCAAAGAGCGTTTTCTAGATTGAAGCCTTGCCGAGCCGGCTCGACATCGCGTGCAGACACTGTGGGGTGTTTGGAGGCTTTGCATGTCGCGGTGTCGTTCAGGGCAGCCGGCGTCGGCTGCCTCGTTCTTTCGTGCTTTCCAATGACCAGGCCGGGTAAGTTTGTTACTCGTGAACGCCTACTGCTGCAGTCGCGGTAGTCCCGCCTGTTATATTGTGGACATGTGTATGCTGCAGCCGTCAGCCATTGTGTCCTCACTGCGCAGTGGTAGCGGGCTTTGGTACGCGTCCGTAATCGGACGAACTAGAGTGACTATGGGTCGACGAGGTTGATACGTTGAAACTGGGAGAGGTATGTGAAGTAGGTTGATGAGCTGATCGTGGCAGCTACTGAGCTGGCAATGTGAACATGCATTCAGCTCATACGACTAGGCATGCTTCGCAGCGAGTGCGGTTGCAACTCTGACACCGTATCAAACTCGGTCGCAAGGGACTGTAGTGCCGCCTTGAGTCGCTAGCTCCATACCTACGTCGTTGCTTCACCTGTGACAGTCCCCCTTGATCGCGTCCACGCAATGGCAGGGTCCAGACGCGTAAAAGGTATGGCCCCGGGCTCCTCCCTCTCCATGTTCCCGTGTTCCCCCGTTGGGCTGGCGGCGGCGAATGTGTTTCGTGCGCGAGTCGGCGTCCCGGGGATGTGCGGAAAGGAGGGCGGTGTTATGTACATGGTCGCGACCGACACATGCTGCTGATACGGTCGCGAGTTTGAGCTTGAGCTGTCGCATGTGTCGTCGAACTGTTTGCAGGAGCAAACAGTAGCCCCGACACCCTTGTGGCTGGCCAGTCGGGCAGAGCAACAGCGTCAGATCCATGCCTCCTCACCGGTAATGTCCGCTAGCAATGCTGGCCTGTTCCATGATGTGCTTCGACCCTGGGCGCGTGAAGAGCGATAGGAACAATGAAGGCTGCTCCGTTGGTGGGGGCGATGCGCCGGAAAGCCTTCAAGCCGCCGACATTGTGCGTGTTCGCCTGGTTCATTGGGACTCGTTGTGAATGGCTTGGTGAGAGTGGTCGAGTCAGTGTACATCAGGCCGCGTTCTGGGTACACAGTCATCCGCTACCGTGAGGTCTCAGTCAAGACTTGTAGGTGAGCGACCGATCGAGTAGCTCCACGCCAAAGGCTCGTGGCCAACTGGGCGTCATCAACTCCATGTTGCGACGGATGAAGGCCAATATACCGGAAAGAGTGGTCGGGCGACCCGAAGCTATCGCAGTGGACCGCCATGCCGTAGCAGCGGATGTCTGACGGGCTACGAGAGCGACCGTGTGTCTGAGCCTTGTCCATCTCGTTGCAGACACGAATGTGCACCGTCGGGTGTTCTCGATGTTGTCAATGACGCGAAGTGGCGTGGTCGTTCGTGAGGGGTAGCGTAGACTCTAGGACATGCCGTGCGCTGGTGGGCATGCTTGGGGTCTTCGGAGCGACGCGCCCTCTGAATAGGACGGGAATGACGCTAGGTATATCAAGAGAAACAAGCCTGTGTGCTGTGAGACTAAAGAG